GCTCTGGGGGCTAATGGATCTTTGTGCCTATTAGGAAATGCCCACGGGGTGTGTTTGGGTGGGGGTGGAGTTGTCCCTTTAGTGTCATTCGATTTCGGGATGAAGAGCATTGGTTCAGGAATCCAACGCAAAAGAAAGAGCCAGAGTGACTCAGTAGAGAGTTTGTGACCGAAAGAGGCCTTGGCAGTCGTTCTGTAGAACAGACTGCGTCAGCTGCTTCCCAGCCTGGGTGGGGGCAGAACTGCTCCACGCTTCCCTTGAGCTTTCTTTGCAGAAGGGTGGAGAGACTTCTATTTCTCCTGAGACTTGTTTGAACTAGTGGCTTCTCTCCTGCCTTGTTTCTGAGGAATCCTGGAGAAGACATGGGAGGCTGTAACACAAAGCCAGGGCCTGGGAGCCTACATGAGACAGATTAACAAAAGAAAATAGCCAAATTTAATTACATATGTGCATGTGGGAACTGCACATGCATGAAAAGCTCAGAGACGGACATTCCGAGCTAGGGATGAGGTAAGAAACCGTGGGACGTCAGAGGGGAGGAAGGCCATTCGTAGGATGATAAGAGCAGATGTTCAGCAATTAGATGTCTGCCCTGCCCTAAAGATAGGTCATAAAATCTTATTTCTGGTGATAACTCTTATTACGGGCAAGGCCTCAAGTTTAAATTCTTTAAGGGAGAGGTAAAAGTTTCTCGTGAGCTCACAGGATCTTGACTGCCTGAACCTCAAAATAATCCACATGCCAAGGTAGCACATCTTAGGGAGGCCTGTTCTGAACTCCTTCAATATAAAACAAAATGACTTTTAAGCTGAATCCTAAACAACAAGAAGGGGCCAGACATAAGGCTACCTGGGGGAAGAACATTCCGAGCGAAGCCACAGCTAGTGCAAGGGCCCTGAGGTAGCAAAAACTATTCAAACAAAGAAACCAGGTGGAGCTCGAGCTCAGAGAGTTGGGAGAAGTAGACAAGGAGCAGATCATGATAAACATGGGGTTTCATTCCAATGGCAAAGAGAAGTCATTCGAGTGTTTTAAACAGAGGGCTTAGTTTCCATTAGCAACAGGATCCAGTTTACACTGGTTTACCCTGGCAAGCCTACCTGGTAAGACCCTCTGTAGGATCATGAGACCAGGGTTCAGAATCCTGACCATCTCCCCCAAACAGTGCTGTCTTCTCAAGGTACTTGGGCGACTTGGGCCCACTTATGTGTCTTCTCCAGATGAGGAGATTCAGGGATGAACGTGTGACTATTAATAAGGAGGGGAAGAAACATTTATTAAGGTACCTACTATGCACCAGGCACATGCTAGGAGTTTTGTTTATTATTACATTTACTCCGTATAACAACTGTCTTCTGAGATATGTGCCTCAGTGCTCATTTCACAGATGGGGAGATGGAGAGTCTGTGAGATTTAGTAACTAGGCCCAGTTGCACAGCTAGGAAGTGAATTTGAACCCACTCTGGTCTGCTTTAAAAGCTCTCTCTGCCACATGACACCTCTTCTAGAACCATGTTTAAGACTCACATTGTAGTGACTTGAAACTTTTTGGGGTTGAAAATACACTCTTCTGGTCCGGCCAAGTGGCACGTTGGTTAAGAGCTGGCTTGGGACACCAGCTCTTAGCAGCAGGCCCCTGTTGGGTTCCACATGAGGGCCAGTGACACTACCCTCTACAGCTAAGATGGTGATCAATAGCTCGACCTGGAGCTGGGCTGCTATGAGTCACTGGCGACGGCGTAGGCTGCAGCCCCTGCTGCAGTGGGCTGCCATAAGCTACCGTGAGTGGCCAGCAGCCAGTGTGAGCAGCTGGCAGCCGGTGTGAACTGCCAAGAGCCGCTATGAGTGGCCGTCCGGTGGCCGGCAACCGATCTGCCTTACCCGGGAAGAGCACAATGATAATACCAACATGGGCTAGTGAANGCCTCATGCCTGGTGACGTCATGGCTAGGAACTGAAGTTCCGGGCAAGCCCCGGATGGTAGAACGTTCTAGTAGAATAAGCAGGGTTACACCCAGGCTTAAAAGAAAGACCTTCCTTTTCTAGACCTAGAGACCCAAATAAGGACAGTGGACTAATTCATTCACTGAGTGACTAGCTAGTTTCCTGCTCCCTACATGCCCCTTTGTCCAACTCCAACCCTATTTCTCGCAGAGAACCAGACCCTTTATGGGAGGAATTTGCAGGGCAGATAACTGAATGTTTTGAAGCCAATGGCTTTAATCTCAGTGAAGATTTCACTAGATGTCCCGAGGAGGTGGGAGAAACTAGAGGGGACACCATCAGAATAAAAAGAAGAGCTTTTGCTGTCTCCCCTCCCCCACCCCCATACTAGAAAGAAGCTAGGGGTCTGTGAGACCCACCCCGCCCCCCTCCCAGACATCACCCTAGGGTCCAAGCCTCAGAAAGAAGTGGGGCCTGGTGATCATAGGTGGGTGGAGCCCAGCGCTGGGCTTCCAGACTCGGCCAGGAGTTCCGTGCCCCAGGTGGGCGCGAAGCAGAGGGCCACCAACTTCAAGGGCCCATGAAGGCCTGAACAGAGGTGTCTGCGGGGACCCCTGTGAATTGATGATCATGTTCAGGACGCATAAGAGCCTGGCTCTCAGGTTCTGCTGGTTGGCAATGACTGAGATTAACTTCGTACCATTCCTGTGAGATAGAGGTTGGCGTTGAATTTTAATTTGGTTTACATACATTAAACGTGGTATTTCTGGCCCACCTGTGTTGGGGGCTGAGGTTCACACTCATGATATAAGGAAACAGCTCCTTGTTTTTTGTTTGTTTGGTTTGGTTTGGTTTGGTTTTGCCTCTACTTCAGATGCCATGATTTTAAGGACCCCACAGGCTGGCTGTGGGCCGAATCAAGGGACTGAGCATTTGGCCCGGTGGGTGTTGGGGGGTAGGGCTCTAGGCTCTAGAAAGGTCTCTGGAGCGAGCTTTGAGTGTCTGCTTCACCCCAATCCCCTGCTGCCTGTGCTGTGGGCAGGAATTCTCACCACCCTGGACAGGAGTGATGGGGGTCCCTGCTGGCCTGAACTGTTGTGGCCTCTGGGAGCAGCCAGCCTGGGTGCCCTGGACCTCCCAGGTGACCAAGCAAGGGGGAACACAGCTGAGTAGACAGTGGCCTCACGCTACCTCCATGTCACACTCTCAGTCAATCAACAGCTATTGGTGCCTCAGTATTTTCTGTCTTCACCGACATGTCATTTCAGCACCAGGGACCAACTGGAAGAGAAGAGGCCGGGGCTTCTTTTTCTGGTCTTCAAATGTCAGACCTGACAGCATCAAGGGCAGCCATTTTGGAGAGATGTTCGGGGACCGGCAGTCAACACTCTCACCAGGAGGAACAAAAAACTGGCTGGGCTTTCAGGGCCCCAACTGTGTAAATTTCAGGCTCCAGAAAGCCTGGGTCTGAACTTGAGAGGAGGTGCTAGATGTTGACTTAATTCCCCACCCCCCCCATCCCACTGCCCGGGTCTCCCCATGGGATGGGGCCCCAGGCAATTGCCCAGATTTGCCTGGGTTCTTGAGAGAGCTTTGCTGAGTTCTTGTACTGAACTTTGCCTGCGTTACCTTTTAATTTTACGGCGCTTTGTGAAGTAGAGTGGAAAGTAAAAGTTAATTAGGCCACCTAATCCAGAATTGAAAGGGGGTTTTAGAATATCACCTGCAGGAAATCGTTCAAGGCTGGAGATGAAAGAATTACACAGTGTAATTTGCTTCCCTGAGATGCTGCCTCCCGTCTTGGTTATCCCACAGCATGTTAGCACGTATGCCCTTCACCTGGAATATCTATGTGTACAACTCTATGTCTGTTCAGGTAAATTGTATGTAACTGTGTGTCAGGTACTGGGCTAGGCACTTTACATAGACAATCTCATTTAACACTCCCCAAATCCTAGGAGGCAGGCACCATTATTATACCTATTTAGAGGTGAGAAAAACTGATGCTCAGAATATAGTTTGTCATGAGTTGTATTGGAGGAGAACTGGAATCTTGAGTGATCCTAAAGGTTCTCTTTCTCTCTCTCTCTCTCTCTCTCTAAGTACATGAAAAAATTTCATACGCATACATCTTGCCACCTAATGCTTTGGGGCAGGGACTGTCTTGTATATTTCTTTAAATTCTCAGACTGCTACAGATAACATTCTATAGATTTTATAGATTAAAAAACAAACAAAAAAACCCCGAGGCCCAGAGTTGTTGAGTGATTTGCACAGAGTCACACAGCAAGTTAATAATAATAAAAAAAAAAAGCACTAGGTCTGGAATTACTGCTCTGAGGCTCCAGCTTCCGTAGGACTACGGGAATGGAAACCAGCACTAATCCTGGCGAGTAGATGAATGAATTAATGAAAGAACAGGAATGAATGTGTGGCTGAAGGGCGAGTAGCTTATGAATTAGTGGGCATAAGACCATCTCAGTCACATCTAGTAACAAGAGACGTCCGCTAAGCTTCTAAATGGTGGAAGTTGAACTTCCTGGTTCCCTCTATCCCAAGCCAACTGCCTGAATGATCCCACTGACCTTTTGCCATTACCTTTTCCCCTCTTGACCCCATTCTCCCAGTTGAGGGGATTCTAGGGTGGTATTTACTACCCCTTCAAAAGGAATCAAAGGAAAACAAAACACACAATAATTCAAAAGGGCAAAGGCTGTTTTTTTATCCCTCCCTCCCCCACCTCCTGCCACCAGCACAAGTGGGAGCACCCCCCCACCCCCAGCACTACTGGGAGAAGGGGAGTCTGACTCACTGCTTTTCCCCCATGGCTTTATAGGAGCCAGCATGAGGAAACATGAACGTGAAAATGCGGCAGGAGGTAAAGCCTGGGGTAGGCGAGAACTTGCTTCCCTAGAGAAGTGAATGGACTGTCCTCCTGGGAGCCCATGGTTAGGGTGGGAGGCTGTGGGGAGAGGGAAAACCAGAGGCCAAAATCAAGGGCCCCTCCTATCCTGCCCCATGCCAGCTGCGTAAGGTGTCATAACCTTGCTACTCACATCTGCCTCGTTCCAGAGCCCTGGGATGCAGAAGGACTCCAACAGGTCACTGCCACACAGCAGCAGGATCCGCAGCTCTGAGGAGGGGACAAAGTTTGCACAGGGAGTAAGTGAAGACCTGGGAAACGTGCGGCTCAGCCTCCTTTCCCCGATGCACGCGGAAGTCTCCCACCCTGGGGGCTCCAGAGCCGTCTTCCAGGCTCCCCTTCCCCATGGCGTGTGCAGTGCAGAAAGCTTAGCTCACCTCTCCCCCAGGCTCCTGTACAGACCCCCTCTCGTCCCCCGTGGGAGGAATGACTTATTCAGGGAAGAGTCTTGGTTTGCCCGGTACAGAGGGGTTCCTGGGGACATGGGTCTTTCTGTGCTAAACCAGGATGGTTGGTCACCCCAACAGAGCCTGAGCCAGCTATGTGCTTTGTCTAAGGGTCCCTCTCTTTTGCTCCATATCAAACTCAAGTGTCGGTGCAGTTTGGCTTCTCTGCTGTTGCGCCTTACCTGGGGACTGTCTCCCAGGGTGGGGACAGTGGGGAGAGGACACCGAGTGTACCCAGGCAGTAGCTGAGTTCCTCAGATGCCCCCTCTTTACATGGCCACTGTCCTCAGCAAAGGGCTTGACAAGCAATGCTGAGCACCCCCCCCCTTTCTCACTCCCAGGCACACTTCACTCTTGGCAGTTGTTTTTCTTTCCTCATTAAGCCCACTCTGAATTATTCCAGCGAGACCCATCATGGTTTAAAACAGGCAGCAAACTGACTCGCTCATTAAAACGGAGCAATGGGGAAAAGAGAATCCGGGATTCTCGGAACCCCAGGGGAGAGATCTCTCCCCGGGGTGTGACTCAGGGTGGCCTGCTTAGTTCCCAGACATCCCAGGCCCTCTGTCAAGAGGCCATGGCTGTGGGCGTCCTGTCTGAAACAGTGAGACAGCCCCGTTCTGAGCCTTCCAGAGACCTCTGCCACCCGGGACCCTGAGGCTGTGCTGGCCGACAGCTCTGCCTGCCTTCTACCCCACAGCTAGCTCGGGGCCCTGACAAGGACGTTCAGATGCTGAACTTGTCTGCGCTGCTGCAGTCTCCAGATGGCTCAGAGGAAGTCTGCTGGGCTGCCGACAGGCTCACCGTCCCACTCAGGCAGACTATCTTCAGGGAGCGCCGTAGGACAATGGGGTCTGAACTCCTAAATATTCTTGCCTGCCGCCTCTCCCCTGCTCTCCTCTCTCTCCTGTGCCATACTAGCCTAATGACCTGTTTATGCACAGGGACCTTAATTTATCTTTATAGAACCAGGGCCTGGCAGAGAGACCTGCCCACGGTAGGTGCTCAGGATGTATTAAATAAGGGAACAGCAGAGAAGGTGACCACAGCAGGCAGGCTGTGCTGGCTGGGCTGGCTGCCATGGCCTTTGCTTTTATGGCGTGGGGCCCCTGGGGGGAGGGTTGCCCTAGTCAGCGGTGCCGCCTCCCTCCATGTTATGCCATGGGGTTACTGGCCCAAATCCCCAGCTGTGAACGTGAACCAGCCTTGGTATGGCTGAGAGGAGACACACCAGGCTCATTCCTGGGAGCCTGTGTTCCTCGTCCCCAGCTTGGAGCTACTCAGAGTTCCGGGTTGGTTCTCTGTTGAAAGACTGGGGCCCTGAAACTCTGGTCGCCTAAAAGTTCAGTTAGGTGACTGTGTCCAGAGGATGTACTGGCCCTCAGCTCTCTCCACATCAGTGGTTCTCATCTGGGGGCTATTTTGTCTCCAGAACTTGGCAATGTCTGCAGGCATTTCTGGTGGTCGACTGGAGAGAGGGATGTGCTGCTGGCACTGAGTGCTTACAGGGCAGAAATGTTGCCCAACATTCTGCGACGCACACAGCAGCCCCCACAACACAGAATCATCTGTTCCCAAACATCTATAGTCCGGTTGAGAAAGTGCTCTACAGTCATGAAAAGGAGCCTCTTTTCTATTCCCCAGAGACTTGCTTTCCCATTCGAGTGTAGTGTTGGTTTTTGTTTTATTTTATTTTTTTATTTATTTATTTTTAAGCCAAGCACAGAAAGTTAAAGAGCGGGGTCTTCACTCTTTCTTGCAGGACCAGAGCAGATCATTTTGTCACAGACCAGAGGCTCTAGCAGGGCTTGTGATCCCACGTGCGGCCACTGGAGGGCAGCAGTGATTTCTCCTGGTTTATTGCATGAGACTCATGGGGACCTTTCCAGCCCACAAAGCCTTTGGTTTGGGCGGCTCCCCCGCACCCCCGCCACCACCCCCTCACCCCAGGTGCCGTCAGCCGGTTAAGAACATGCAAATGGAGCCTAGATGCTAACTGAGCTAGGAGAAAAATGGCTTTTTCCTTCTTGTGAAGAGTGCAAGGGGATTGCAAAAAGGGAACACGTGAGCCAGAGGGCCTCCCAGCACAGAGGTCTGGAGGCAGGGCAGGTCTCTCCCACCTCCTCTGGGTCCCACCCCCACTTTCCCAGTTCATCGCGTCCAGGGTCCCAGAGCCAGCAGCCAGAATCAATGCTCATCTGCCGCCCTCCCCACCCAGGAATCTGTGCTATGTGAAGGCCAGGCCCTGCGGCCCTTTCCAGCCCCCACCTGTGCCAGGCCAGGCCATTGATCCATCCTGACAGCTGTGGCCACCCAGCTTTCCTTTCTCCAAAAGAAGAGGAAGTAAGATGGGACTAACACTAGCCCTGCCCCTCCCAAGGCTGCAGTGAGATAACTATGGGAGAGCCTTGGGCCCACAGCAGTGCACTGTGCAAACACCCATCGGCACTGCCCAGGGCAGGGATGGTCTGATGCCCTGGCCCTGGGTGCTGGGAAGGTAAACAAGGTCACACCTGAAGCTTGACCACAATGAATGCCTTCTGGAACAAGGAAGGAGAGGAATACATTGCAATACAGTTAAAAGTCTGAAGGCTGCTCTGAGCTCTGCTGGTCAAGAAGGTAGTCCCCGACCAGGTGTGGGACCTCTGGGAAGCAGGGCTTTCGCTCCCATCCTGGCCTTTTCCATGTTTGGGGCTGTGGAACCTGAACCGCTCCCGCCTGCTTTCCAGGAGCAACAAGGAAACCAGGGGCCACTTTTTGTGGCCCTCAGTGATGTGCTGGTAAACATAGGATATTAAAATACAGTGAAACAATTAGAAAGGGAGGAGTTTTGAGTACTCATTATTTTTGTTTTGAATGCGATGCCCTCCAGCCCTAGAAAGAGAAACCCCAGGAACGGGAGACCTGCAGTATCACTGCGGCTGCGCATTGCAGATTGGGCATGTCTGCGGGACACCAGGCTGCCTTTCATCCAGGAGATCCAGGTATTCAGTTGTCACTGATCCTCCTTGTCGCCTGGTGCCTGGGCCAACTCTAGCTACATTCTGGATCCTGTCTACTCTTCCTCCAGCTTCAGACGCTTTTGTCTCCCACTTGTGTCTCTCACCTACTCTGGAACCTTGGAAAGATTTCCGTTTTCTGCGTTGCTGCCCAGGGTTCCCCAGGACTCAGCTCCCTTCCTCAGGTGGGTCAGCGCCTTCCCATCTGAAAGCTCCATGGAACTGCCCCCACCTGCTCTGGCCTTGGGCCTGCGAGGCCCTCACATGGGCAGCAGATGCCTTAGCCTCTGCCCAAGGCTGCAGGGAGGTTGTGGAGGTGGCTTTCAGCCCCTCTCTGCTCCTCATTTCTCCAAGCAAGCAAATCCTCCGATCAGAAAGTCCTGGGGCCTGGGGCAAGGGAGTGGGGGTAGGGCGGAGGAGAGGGGAGGTGTGGAGGGTCTTCTGCCTCGTGCACGTTGTCGTGGGCAAAAGAAGAATCTCTCTGGCTGGCGCTGGAGCTCGACTTCCATGTGTTTTGAATCAGGGAGAGGAGGCTCTGAAGGGAAACTTGCCGATGGATCCGGCCTACCTCCTGGGAACTGGCGCGACTCCATGTAGGAGGTATAAAAGGGGTGATGGGGGGGGGGGCAGCTAAGACTGTGGTCTTAGCTTGGGAACAATCACTCTCCTGGGAGGAGACCCTGTGACAAACATGACCCAGGGTTTTCAAGCCCCTCCCCTCCCCCACTCGGCCCATGGTGGAGGCAGGTGACTCCAGTCCCCTGCTTTGCCAGCCCCACTCACCAATCTCCTCGTACCGCATAACCGTGCCCAGGTTGGCATTCTCATCTAGGGAGGAAAGGGAATGCAGAAGCATTAGGGACCCCGACTTCCTGGTACCCAACACGCAGCCCACCTGGGGCTCCTTGGAAGGAGTACAGGATGGGGTGGGGCAGGTGGGAGTGCACTCGCTGCCCTGCACCAGGGGCGTCTGAGTGAGTGGACAGCACAGCTCAGCGTAAAATGGAGAAGGAGCGTCTCCTTAGGCCCCAGGGTGGACGTCACATTTCTGGGTCTGTCAGAATCAGGCAGGCTCGTTAGAGAGCCAGTGCCTAACGCGCGCGCGCACATACACACACACACACACACACACACACTCATGCTGAGCGCCTCCTGTTTCTTTCTGTGTTTTAGGGAGGCTGGCTGCAAGAGCAACATCCTCAAAACCTAAGGAGACAGCTTTGAGTCCCAAGGAGATGGCCCTTTCTCCTTAGGGGTTACCTGGTTGAAAGAACAAGCAAAACGGAGCATGCTGAGATGTTTCACGTGGCGGAATGCAGCAAGAGCCCGAGGAAAGTGTGAAAGACAGAGTCTCTGAGGTGTGCTCTGGAGCATGCAATACCTGCACGGGGGTGCATGGTGTGCACAAGGCCGCAGAGATGCCACCTTGGTTCCCTGCCTCCCTTCCTTCCTCAGCCTTAGGCTCTTAGTTCCTTCTCAAGATGCCTGAAATTGGAAATCTCAGAAATGGCAGACGTCAGCCCCAGGGGATCAAAGGAATGAGGTCTAGGCCTTCAGCTCTTCTGCAGAGATGAATTTGAGGACTCTGTAAGAGCCCCAGGGCCTAGGATAGTCTCATCCATGCTGAGCCCTTAGGGGCGCAGCCAAAAACCAAGGCATGAAGGAAAGAGAGTGCGTTTCTTAGCCTATCAGCAGGAGTACAGACATGGCTAGAGCTGCCGGGCTGAGGGAGGGCGCTGGACCTCCTGAAAACCCGTAGGCATGTAGACACGTTCTGTGGGGGGTGGAGAATGACCTCACATCCCCGAGTGAGGTCCCCCAGGCAGCCCGGGGCCATGCTGATGGTGCCCTCTGGGCTCCCTTAACAGCTCAGCACTGGCACTGCAGGCCCGGTGACATTCCTGTTTATCCATGGCCATCCCACAGCAGGTGCTGGGGGAGGGATGGGGGAAGAAAAGAGGCAGGACTGGGGACAAAGTCCTTGCTCCCTTACCCACAAAGGTGAAGCGTTCCACAGGCGGGCGGACGCAGCAGATCCGGCTTAGGCTTTCTCCCACCTTCCCCAAGATCTTGGCTATGGGAGAAAGCAAGACAGACAGGGACAGAGGGAGAGAACCACTCACAACTTACACGCGTGTCAGCCCGGCATTGGGCCACTGTCAACAGCAGGGGGGCATTGGAGGGGGCAGGGGGTGGGTAGTGGGCGGCAGAAGGAGAGTGGAGAAAAAGAACAGAAATATGACAGCGAAAGTTCCTTCTTCTCGTTCCCAGTCCCAGGCACAAGCATTCTGAGCCACACAGACCGGATTTCATTTTCTGGTCATGTTTGTTACACGGTTGAAATATTGGAAAATGTAGAAGAGGAAAGCATATAAAGAGGAAAATTAAAAAGTGCCCCCTAATCCCACCCCTGGAGGTAACCTCCATTGACATACTTGGTATATTATTGATTTTCTTCCATTTTCTCAAATGTGTATTAGGCAGCTATGTCTGCATAACATCGGCTGGATTATATTCTGTGTTTCAAGGGTGGGTAAGCTGTTTGCTTTTCCATTTTTTAATATCATGAGCATCTGCCCATCACTGACTACTAACTCCCAGATCTAAGGAGATGTGGCCTGATAGAACGAATTCATTTGAAATAATTTCTGCTGGGCTAAGGCATCCCTTCCCACATGCAGATGGTCTTTAGAATAATCAGACACCCTGCTATGGCTGAGAAGGTTCTGGCTTTCAATCATCTCTTTGGCCTCTAACCCAGAAGGCTTTCCTGAGTCCCCATGTGCCGCTGGATGCAAACGATGAAATTCTGACTCTTCTTTATGAGTTACCCTGTTTATAACAGGCTAAGGACATAGGAGCTGATGGTCTCTAGGCTTGGAAAGTAACACCAGGATCTGTCCCTTGCAATTGGCCTGGAAGAAAATATTAGGAGGAACATGGACCAGGGAACCAGACAGTCCTGACTATGAACTCTGAGTTCATACACAGACTATAAGCTGTGTGGCCTTAGGCAAACCACTTACCTTCTCTGAATCTCGTGTAAATGGGAACCTAATTATCTCTATCACCAAATCATTGCATTAGACGAGAACCCCAGTAAAGCACCGAGCGGGTGTACAGTACTAGGCGTTGGGTCAGTGTTGGGGGCCTCCTGCTCTCCGTCACGGAAGAGGTGGCTAAGAGTGTGGGATTCCGGATGCAGGCTCCTGGTCCTGCTACTTCCTCACCGTGTGACCTTGGGCAAGACCCTCCACGCCCTTGGAAGAGGCACAGAAAAATGCTCCCTTCTGTACCTTTCATTCCCAGCTAAGGCAATTATATTTCCATTTCAATGCAGACGAAGAGTGCACACAGTCGCCCTGTCACTCTCTGTCTCTCTGTCTCTGTGACTATTTCCCTCTGATGCTCTATATTAAGGCTTCAAAGTGCGGCCCCTGGACCAGAGCATCAGTATCCCCTTGTTAAAAATGCAAATTCCTGGGCCGGCCGAGTGGCGTGGTGCTTAAGAGCTGGCTTGGGACACCAGGTTCAGATCCCACATATGAGGGCCAGTGACACTGCCCTCTACAGCTAAGATGCTGAACAACAGCTCAACCTAAAGCTGTGCTGCTGTGAGTCTCCTGAGATGGCGTAGGCTGCAGCCCCTGTGGCAGTGGGTTGCCATGGGCTACTGTGTGTAGCCGGCAGCCAACGTGAGCGGCCAGCAGCCGCAGTGAGCGGCCGTCCAGAAGCCAGCGACTGATCTGCCTCGCCCGGAAAGAGCGCAGTGATGGTGCCAACTTGGGCCAGTGAAGCAACGTCCTCCACAACTAGACTGAAGAACAAAAGGACAGCAACTTGTCTGTTCCCCTTCCCCTAATTCCCCAATAAAAATCTTTAAAAAAAAAATGCAAATTCTCAGCACCCTCCCAGACCCACTGAATCAAATTCGGGGGAAGGGGGCAGGCACCTAGCGGCTGGGATTTTAACAAGCCCTTCAGGTGATTCTAGTGTTTGAGAACCACTGCCCTCCACCAATGTCCCCCTACCTGCAGTAGGCTTGGTAGACACATTGTTGTTCTGGTAAATGGGCTGTGGGGTCTCATTTTGGGACTGTCCGATCACAGGCGTCATGGACGGTGTGTTGACATTGGAGAGGATGCAGCCAGTCACCCGCTGGGGAAAATAAGAAGTGCAGAGTCAGTGTCATAGCCGAGTTAGTTAGGAAAAGTGCCTCCCAGTCATCTCCCAATGCTCATCTGCTGTCCATCGCGGTGAGGCCACCTGGGGACGAGGGAGAAGGCTGGGAGTGGGCTCTGGACGCAGCTGCACTGCGTGCCACCCTGGGCTGGCAGGAGGCAGGATGGCTCAGTGGGAAAAGCATGGGATGTGGCATTGCACAGACTGGGGTTTCAGTTTGAGCTCTGTCCCCTCTGGCTGTGTGACCTTGGATCGTTACTTAACTTCTCTTGAGCCTGGCACAGCTGCCTGTCTGGATTGTCGTAGGATTACACAAATGAGCCTATGCATAGTGCCTATAGAGCATCTGGCACGTGGCAGGCTCTTCGTACCCAGCAGCCAACGCTGTAACCTCTGTGCAACGTGCCTACCTACCATCCCTGCCTGCTGCATGGGGCTCAAATGAGGTCATGCCTGCGAAAGAGCTGTGTAAGCTTGGGAAAGGTCATGCAAACACCAGGCATTATCACCACCTGCTGCCTCTCCAGGCCACAGATGCTAATGGCAGGGCCCAGCCAGAGAGCGGTGCCAGGCAGGGCAGAATGTGTGGGTTACAGCAGGGTGGGTGGGGTTCTGGGCACTGCTCGCCAGTGTGGGTACGCATTCCAGAGCCCAATGGAAATTCTGTGTATTAACCGTCGTCCTGTGTTATCTGGCCTGCCGCTTCTCTCCAGCGCCCCAGAAAACGGAGCAGATAATACAGCATCCCTCACAGCTGACCCAGAAGCAGCCTCCCTTGCCTGTGGTGAGGGGACAGTAACTATTGGGATGCATTTTCAATCTGTTTAGCTTCACAGGAGCCATTGCTAATTCAGGGTCCCTTCCCTGAAAGCCACCTTCGTACCCCCACCCACCACAACTTTCTGGTTTACTGAGTCCTACTGTCAGAGGACCCCCAAGCCCCAGGGCTGGGTGACCTCCGAAGGCACCTCTCCCACAAGCCACACTGCAGGCAGAGTGGCATGTCAGTCTTGGGCCCTGGAAAGGCAGGCAATTTGCTTTTGGGGTGACCTGTCACTTCTGTAATGATCCTGACAGGAGAAGGTCACTGCAGCATCCAGCACATCTGGGAGCCAGCTGAGGCCGGGTACCACTAGGGGCTCCTCAGCCAGCTTGTGGGACCCTCTGTCCGGCTGCGGCTGATGGGGTGGAAGGGACAGTCTGCCTCCTTTCTAGTCTTATGTCACCTCCAGAAAAGAAAACGCCACGTTCTCACTTCATAACTGGCCCGGCAGCTGAGGAATTTCTTCCTCTTGCTGCATGCATCATTCGTCCCTTTCTGCTTGCTCTATGCCAGGGAAGAGGAGGCCTGGCCGTATGCCACACTCTGCCCTCATCAGCACTCTGTGGGCTCTTGCCTTCCATACATAGCCTTGAGTCACTTCTTAAGCCCCGTTCCTGTCCCTCCAGACGGTCTCCTCTCCATGCAAGGAACACAGGCCTGATGCTAGGACTGGGGAGGCGGAGACTTATTAGGAAACTGCTCAAGCTCCCGCTCTGAGGCAGGGGGCCATCATGACCTACATTCTCTGCCCATCTGTGCCCATCGCTGCGACCGCTGGGGCTCCTGGCCAAGCTTCCCTGGCCCAGACTCAGGCCTCTGGGCACGAGCAACAGAGGGAGGGTTCCGGAAGCCCAGGCCTTTAGACAGCAAAACAGCACCCAGGCTTCATGGCTGATGCAGCCAGGGCTCACACATGCCTCAGGGTCCCTGATTCCTCCCTTCTGTCACGGCGCCTGAGGCTCCTGTGTGACTAGATGGAGCACAGGCCCCCTGACAATGCCTAGATGACATGTAGTTGCAAGAAATAAACTTGTGTGAAGCCACTGAGGTTTTAGGGGTGTTTGTTACCACAGCATATGTTGGCCTATCCTGACTGACACACTCTTAGTGAGATCCGAGGCTGTTGTGGAAAGCAGCACAGACAGGCAGGCAGTGCCACCCTACGTCGGAGACCTTTTGGGGGGACCAGAAAAAACGCAGGATGTAAAGGGTCCTGAAAGTGGAGAGAAGGGAGATGCATTTTTCTTCAGTTCCATGGGGGAAAAACTTAACAGATGAAGCAACAACCGGCCAGCCCTCCGACTTCTCTGGTGCTCGACCCCCTGGATGGTCTGGAAACTTAAGGCTCCACATCTTTTGAAACAAAGCACGGCTGCATGGCTGGTGGGGTGTGGGGTGATCAGGGGCTGCCAATGGCTCCCCAAGGAGAAAATTCTGACAGGCACTGTGACAGAAAACACGGATGGGATGGAGACACTTCTGGTGTTAGAACACGCCATTTGGTTGTTATCTGGGGCTGGGAAGAACCCCACATGAGGGTGAGTGAAGGTGAACGGGATTGATTGAGTCCGGCCTTGGTCAGTAGGGCTTCTTGCTATCGCTGGTACTGCTTTTCATCCCATCACTGTGGGAGTCCATGGGTTGGGATTGATCTGTGAAGGATGCTTTCTGCATTGGCCAGTGCTGCTGGCGGGTGTGGAACCCATTCGAGGTTGGCAACCAACCAGCTCTTCGGTCACGGCAGCGCGACCGCGAGCTCCAGGCTCCCCTCTGTGTTCACGAAGCAGTCGCTGTGTGTCCTCAGGTACGTCGGCTCACCTCTCTGTGCTTCCTGTGACTCATGCATGAAACGGGGACTAGAACACTGACGGTGGGACGCGGGTGAGGCAGAATGAGTGGGGATGATGGTCCAGTGACTGGCGGGCGTGAAGTCCTCAGCACAGCACCCTGTGCTGGAGTGAAGGCACCGCTGGGTCCCAAACAGGCGGGGCAGGAGGACCTGGCCGCGTGTACTTCCTCCCGGAGCCCCTCGCTCCTCCTGCTTTCTGTGCCTGGTCTCCTTCTCTCCTCACTTTCTAAAGTCTTCTGCTTGTGCTCTCCATCCCACCTTGAACTTGCCGCCAGAAGATGAAAACGGCCCCAGGTGAGACCCAGCCGGAGGAGCACGGCAGGTGCAGCCCCTGGTGCTGCCCTGGGTCCCTGATTCCCTGCCCTCCTTCGTGCTGGTCTCCCCTACAGCTGGTGAGAAGCCAGAAACTGCAGCAGGTCAGGGGCCCTCAGCCCCCCACCCCTGGCCTGCCTGGTTTCTGTGGCCCCCCCCACCCCTCAGCATGGCCCAGCTCACCTTCATGAGGTCCCGATGGTGTTCCAACACACTGCAGGTCGTCTGCCAAGTGTCCTGATAGCACTCCCACGGGTCCACCCTGACAGAATTGGAAAGAGGTTTCCTTTGGTTTCCATTCTCACACGCTTTCCTTATTGGTTCCCTCCAAAGACCACCGCTCAGGGAGCTGAGCAGACCTGGTCATACCACATACTTAGACCTCAAATCCTTCCTGAGCCTCAGTTTCCCCTCTGTAAAAGGAGAGGTGTGTGGCATGGGCTTACATGCAAAGGTGCTGATATTAGTCTGCCTACGTTTAACCCCAGCCCCAGAACTTCTAACTGAAGGGCCTTGGGAAAGTGATGTGATCCTTTGGCGCTCGCTTTCCCCAATGGGAATAACAGCAGCATCTCTCTTGTGGGGTTATTAGCAGGGCTCAATGAGCGTTATATGTAAAGCGCTTATCACAGTGTCTTGCTTTTATTCTTATCTGCAAAATGGGAATTCTCCCCTGGACCTTATAGGATCGTGAGAGCCAGGCCCTCATCTAGTGGTGGCTGCAGTTACCAGAGTTCGGGACTTTGTCCCTGTCTGCCCTCCTGCCCAGAGCGGGTGGGCCTGGCAGTCAGACTGGAAGGCACAGACACACAGACTGGTCAAACCCTCCTGCACACGAGGATGTGAAGTGAGCCAGGATCCAGCCCAGACGGAGGCAGCTCTCGGCCTTAATTGCAAACTTAATGAGCTGCTAAATTGGGATATTTCTCAACATTTTCTTAGCAGTTAAGCATTCCCTGCCCACCTCCCGCCATGCACACACACTTAAGGTTCTCAGAGATGGGATCTCACTAGCTGAAAACCCTCAGAGAGTCAGCCTGCCCTGCACCTGGCTCTCCCTGGAACCCTGACCACTCCTCCCCTGGGACAGGCAGACACCTGACCTGGACAAACAGGCTCCCCTATTTCCAGGGGCCCTGCCGATGCCTAGCCCCCAACTCTAGAGCTAGCTCTGAGCCTCCCTACTGATCTCAGTTCAAAATCCTGATTTTCCAAGTGCCTAGAGGAGTGCCGGGGAGACAGTAAGGGCTCAGTACATATTTGTTGAACAAACGAGGGAATTGGTTCAGAATCTTCTAATCGCATCCAAGCAGCAACAGCCTCCTGCTCAGCATTTTCCCCACTGGACCCCATTTTCCCCGGGAGATGATGAGTCACCATGTTAAGAGGCCTCATTTCTATTCCTGACTTCACCCCACAAGGGCTGTTCACTCTCAAGCCCCTTCTCTTGACTTCTCTGTACCTGTTTCTCATCTGAGAAAAGGCAGCCGTCCCTCTGCCTAACCTGTATCTTGAGGGGATGAGAAAGTCAGCCGGGGGCTTGTGCTTCTCACGCCAATCACTGCACACGGCTGGCAAGGATCCCTGTTTAATGAACATCGTCGCCTCCCTTCACCGCCCTCATTTCCGCCCACCCCGACCCTCCTCCGCTAACTCCCTGCACCCCTCATTCTAAGGTCAGCTTTCCTTCACTTTCTTCCTTTTGTGGAAACCTCTAGGCGCTTCTTGTTTTCCCATGGGGGGACATTACAGTGCAAATGATGTGCCATTATTTTTTTAAAACGTCATCGACTCATGCAAATTATAACTGTAGGAACTTCGGGGAGCATAATGAGTGGAAGCTTGCTTTAATTACACTGCAAGCTGAGCGGCTAACGGTGTCTGCCGTTTTAGAGGCATGTCAGAGGGCAAGGCAGAGAGAGCTCGCCCCTTCCCCCCCACACACACACCCCTCTGTCCCACAGCCTGTGTGGCGCCCCGAGAGCCTGAGTTCAGGAATGGGAAATAGCCAAGTCCAGGGAACATTTCCTGAAAGGCCCTGAGAGTGCATGGGAGTGAGTGGAGATAAAAGTAGAGAGGCATGCTGGGTTTTCTGGCCATGCCTCATCCCAAACTCACTGTTTTCGGAAGCTCCAAGAATACTCCTGGATGCAAAGGTGCTAGAACGTTCAGAAACACTGAAAGCTCCCTTTGTCATTGCATGGGCCCCACAGCTTGGTTAAAAGATAATGTTATCAGCTCGGCCCCCCCTGAAGGTCTATTACCTATGGCCTGCATGGGGCTGTTAAAAAAAAGGACAACAGACCCAAAATGGAGTAACTTGTGCTAAGCCCACATCACCAGATCAAGACCTAATAGCTAACCTAACCGCAGTTCAACCTCTCCCAGCAATGTAATTTTAACCAGTCAATCCGGAATTTCCTGGTCCGCTCTGGTGGGGTAATCAGCCTGACAGCGTCCTCCCATTCCCCACAGGTAGGTTACCTAAGTCTAAACAATCCACTCTTTTCCTCCTTATGCCCATAAAAGCTTTCCATTTAGTGCAGCTCCTTGGAGCTCCATTCTATATGCTAGATGGGATGCTGCCCAATGATGAATCTTTGAATAAAGTCAATTTGATCTTTTTTAAAAAAATTTTTATGCAGTTTCTTTCTTTTCTTTATTTGGGGAACAGTGTGTTTTTCCAGGACCCATCAGTTCCAAGTCAAGTAGTTGTTTCAATCTAGTTGTGGAGGGTGCAGCTCAGTGGCCCATGTGGGGATTGAACGGGCAACCTTGGTGTTATGAGCACTGCGCTCTAACCTACTGAGCTAATCAGCCGCTCCCCAATTTGATCTTTACATCTACTCAGCTGAATTTTGTTATTTAACAGGGCTAATATCGCCTCTGGCCTCCCCTCACACCCACCCCCGGTGAGTCCCCAAGGCCACCTGCCTCTGGTGGCATCCAGCCAGCCCTACCTGATCCAATCAGAGTTCTGGACGGCCAGCTGACACATGATGAGACGATGCCGACTTGACACAAGGCCCTGGGAAGCAACGAAGCAACCATTGAGACACCCACCTGCTCTCCACAGCCTCCCCAAGACACCATCCCAAGCCAGCCCAGCACAAAAGTGCAGCCATTTTTCAGTGGTGACAGGGAATGAGGGAGTGACCCCTTGTCCATCTGCCACACAGACAGGCATGGTGGGGCAGAGGGGGAAAAAAAAGGATAGTGTGTGGAATAGACCACTTGCAACGGGGCAGCCAGTGTGCCCAGCACAGAGATGAGACTCAACTTGGCAGGTGCTGCCTTGTCTCACGGCTCAATCCAACTGCTTAGGTTACCTCCTCTGCAACCCACCAAGTTGTATCTGGGGGAAGAAGGGGAACGCCTGGGAGAGCTCCCAGATTTTCTGGGACATGTGGCAGGGAGGGAGGGGCATGGAAATGAATTTTAAATTAGAGTATAAAAGCTATAAGCCCTTTTTTCTTCTAAGGACTTGCCTAGCCCATAACCAGCCACTAATCTGGCATCCGTGCCAAGTCACACTTGGCCCTTAGCAGGTGTGTCGGCTCCTCTTTTAATGAGTTTGGATGGAGCCTGGCACTATGAGCGGTTGCCTGGTTGTGGGCAGCTGTTCCTCCTCCCAGCTGCAGCCCAACACCCAGCTGCTCACGTCTGACTGTGGTCCAGAGACGGGAAGCAGGGCCCCTGCTACCAGGCATTTTGCGATTCCAGGAATTATAGCAGAAATGGCAGTGGGGCAATTTGATGCCAGAGGAGCCATCAGGTCAGGAAGGGGAGGAGAGGGGCAAAAAGAGGAACCCACCTGTTTTCCGTAAGAGTCGTGCACGGGCGAGACGATCCCGCCAATCACAATGAACCTTCCAGTTTTGTGCAGATAATCTCTGGCTCTTTCTAATTAAGAGAAGAAAACCACACATTAGAGGAAAGAGGAAAGGTGTGGATCAAAGGCGATCATTGAAGTCAATACATTCGGCTCTGGAAGGCGTGTTTCCCAGCTAAATAGAAAGTGTCATTTAAATAGGAAGTGCCAACTTTCAAAAGCAAACTGTCAAAGTTGCGGATTTAAAAGGTTATGGAACCAGATTTCAGCCCCCAAAGCAAAAGGATTTAGAACTCCAGGGGATTGATCCAGTTTTAAAGGTCCTGTGCTGGATGAGCCAGTGTAGTTTAGAGGGATTTAAAACAAGCCTCTCACTAGAAGAGCAATAGACTGGAAATTATCCCTATGATCATTTGCAGAAATTCCAAAGTGCAGGAATAATTAAAAAAAAGAAAAGAAGCAGCAGCCTTTTTATATTATGAAAGGTAGGCTGATTGCCTCATCTCGTTACTCAGAAGAGAAAAACCACCAAAACAAATTTATAGGGCCTTCTATATAATTAGAATTACCATCAAACGAAAAAAAACGTCATTACCGTTGGCTGAGAAAAGTTCAGATAGAGAAAAAGCTTTTTTCCTTAGGAAGGAATTTGTGATGCTGCTTTTTCAAATTGACAAGACATGCCCAATTTCATTTTCATGAAAAAATTCAGCAACCTAGGAAGCGGATAAACATTTTGGTTCTCTTACTTCCAAGGGGGGGTGGTTGTACAATTCCAACAGTGCCTGAGCTTGTTCCGCTGCGGAAATGAGGCATGGATATACTTTATAGGTGAGGGATTCTGTAAGTGAACATGGGCTTTGTAGCAAGGCTGGCTGCATAGTTTACAAGCAAGGTCCCTGGATGACCTTGCTACTAGCTCCCTTACAACTTAAAACTAATTCTTATCACATTGGCTTTTTCTTTTCATGTGAAAACCCTTAGAGTTTTTTCCATAATGAACAGACTTTATTGCTTAGCACAGTGTTAGATTTGTAAAACAATTGAGCAGATAGTACGTCGAGTTCTGTATACTCACCCCCTCCCCTTTTTATTGCACCCCCCTCCCCACCACACACACACCATTTCCCCTCTTATTAACACCTCTCATTAGTGTGGTACATTTGTCACACTTCATGAGTCCCATGCTGACACATTGTTATTAACTATAAGCCATAGTTTCCATTAAGATTCCCTCTCTGTGTTGTAGAGTTCTGTGGTTCCCACGACCTCCTCCTTGGGTTCGATTAATTTGCTAGAGGGGCTCACAGAACTCAAGAAGCGCATTTAGTCACTAGGTTACCGATTTATTACAAAGGATTTTAAGGATATGAATCAACAGCCAGATGAAGAGATGCATAGGGCAAGGTCCCAAACAAAAAAGTCCCTGTCCTTGCTGAGTTTGGGGCCCAGAACCTAGAAGGGTAGAGGAAATTTCTTCCTTCCCCACGATAAAAACTCAGAAACCTAGGAATAGAAGGGAACTTCCTCAGCATGATAAAGAACATCCATAAAACTTACAGCAGATATCATCTTTTATTGCGAAAGGCTAAATGCTTTCTTCCTAAGATCAGGAAGAAGGCAAGGCCATCTGCTCTCACTCACCACAGCGATTCAACACAGGACTCGAAGTTTCAGCTAGCTCAATAAAGCAAGAAAAGCAAATAATAGACACAGAGATCAAAAGGGGGAGGGGAACTGTCTCTACTTTCATATGGCATGAAAGTCTACTTGGAAATCCCAAGACATCTAAGGAAATTCCTAGAACTAATAATCGAGTTCAGTAAGGTCATAGGATATAAGACCAACATAAGAAAACTAATTGTATTTCCATCTGCTAGCAACAAACATGTGGAAATCGAAATAAAAAAGACAAGACCACTTATAACCATTCAAACAAATGAAATACTTAGGTATGACAATAATAAAACATAAACTGAACTTGTATGCCAAAAACTCCAAAATGCTGATGACAGAAATCAAAGAAGATCTAAATAAATGTAGAAACATACCATGTTTACGGATGAGAAGACTCAATGTTGTAAAGGCATTAATTCTCCCCAAATTGGTATATAAATTTAATGCATTTCCTGTGCAAATCCTAGCAAGATTTTTTGGTGTAAATACAGACAAAATAATTCTAAAATTTACATGGAAAGGTAAAGGAACTAAAATACTTAAAACCTTTTTGAAAAAAGAATAAAGTGGGAAAATCCAAATTTCAAGCCTAATTATGTAGCTACAATAATCAAGACGGTGAGGCATTGGCAGAGAGACATGTGGATCAATGACATAGAATAGGGAGTCTAGAAATAGCCCCACACAAGTATAGCTAACTGAATTTTGACAAAGGTGCAAAAAACAATTCAATGAAGAAAGGATAGTCTTTTCAAAAAATGGTGCTGGGGCCATGGGTGACAATAGACAAAAAAGAAGACAAAAACAGAAAAAACAAACAAACCCTCAACCTAAATCTCATACACTATACAAAAGTTAATTCAATAGAGATTGTAGATTTAAATTATGTAAAGTGTAAAACTATACAACTTTTAGATGTAAATATGGGAGAAAATCTTTGGGCCCAAAGATTGGTGAACTCTTAAACATGACACCAAAAACATGATGCATAAAAGAAAAAAACAAAAAAAACCCAATAAGTTGGACTTTGACAAAATGTAAAACTTTTACTCTATGAAAGACCCTGTTAAGGGGGTGAAAAAAACAAGGTGCAGACTGAGAGAAAATATTTGCAATCTAAATATCTGAGGACTCATACCTAGAATATAGAAAGGACCCTCAAAACTCAACAGTAAAAAACTAACAATTAATTAGAAAATAGGCAAAAGACATGAAGAGACATTTTACTGACGAGGACACGCAAATGGCCAATAAGCACATAAAATGATGTTCAGTATCACTCAGTGTTAGGGAAATATAAATTAAGACTATGATGAGATATCACTATTCACCTGGCAGAAAGGCTAAATAAATAATTGACAATACCAAATGCTGGGGTGAGGAGAACCTAGATTGCTCATACATTGCTGGTAGAAATGTAAAATGGAAAACTACTTAGAAAAATGGTTTGGTGGTTTCTTTAAAAACTAAACATAACACTTAGCATACTTATGACCCAGCAACTGCACCCACGGGCATTTTTTCTAGAGAAATAAAAACATGTCTACACACACACACACAAACATGTACAAGATTGTTCACATCAGCTTTATTTGTTATATCCAAATACAGTAAGCAAATAAAATTTTCTATACTAGGTAAAGTGGTTAAGACAAAATGTGGTACATCCATACTGGGAATAAAAAAGAGCAAACTAACCATACATGCAACAGTTGGCATGGATCTCCAGTTCATCATGTTGAGTGAAAAAAAAGCCAATCTCAAAAGGTTGCATATGTATGATTCCATTTATATAATATTATGAGAAATGATACAGATCAGTGGATGTCAAGAGTTAGGGATGGAGGTGGGGCAGGGAAGGGAGGTGGGTGTGATGATAAAGCTGTAGCTCCCGGCAGATCTTTGTGGTGATGGAGCAGTTCTGTATCTGAATTGTGTGGGTTACATGAATCTACACATGTGATAAAACGACACATAACGGTACATACCCTTTCTACCGAGGTCAATATTCTCATTTGATATTGTACTATAGTCACATAAAATGTCACCATTGGGGGAAACTGGGGGAAAGGTACATGGGAGCTCTCTGTGCTCTCTTGGCAACTTCCTATGAATCTATAATTATTTCAAAATAAAACATTTTTTAAAAAGCCTATGGTAAACGATGAAACACTGTACAGTGTTAAGGTGGTAGTATGCAAATCCAGGCAAATGGCAAGCAAACTCGTGGGGCTGGATGCTTCTGGAACTTTCTCTTCTCCTCCCTTTCCATCTTTGCTGCTGTTTTTGGGCTATTACTGCTTGGGAGGGGTTGTCCAAAGCAGTGCTTCTCAAACTTTGATGTGCAGGTCAGTTCTCGGGGGAGGGGGGGGGGGATCGTGTTAGAATGTAGATTCTGATTCTAACAGTCTGGGTGGGGATCTGAGATGAGGGCCAGGGTTAAGGTGAGAGGGTCAGGATCCTTCAAAGTGCAGGATCAGATCCTGTCTTCATTTAATATTATGATATTTGGTTCATCGTGCATTAATTTGTGCATTAATTTTGATTTTTAAAAACATTATTGATCCTGATTACCGAATATTGGGATGACCCCTTAAATTTTGCACTGGAGAGGGTCATCCTTCTTGACCTCACCCTACCCCTGGGACTGCCTGAGATTCAGCCTTTCTAAGAAGCTCCCACATGAGACCAACAGCTGCAGGTCTGTAGTTAATATTTTGAATAACAAGGGACTAATGACAGTTGGGGCAGCCCCTGCAGTGTTAGGATGCCCACAGAAGAAGCTCTCCTCCCTTCCCCCCTCTACCACCACCTCCACTTTGCATGACAAGGACATTTCTGGACATTGGCAAGTAGCCCACGGCAGAGCTATAGCTACGGCCCTGGAATTTAATTTCATGCCAGGCTTCCTGAGATGTGCTTTATTTTTGTCCATCACCTCTGCCCCAGGGGCAGAGCCAAATCATTCTAACATTTGACACTCAGTTCCGACCCACCCTCCATTGGGTCCATGCTCCTTCCTCCTACGCCCCCGGAGTACCGAGTCCTACCCTCAGTACCTTGACGAGCCACTGTGTCTCACCACCCATTCCAGGCCACATAGATCCAGGTAAGTAAGTCTCCAGGTAATTCTCCCTTCCTGACAGCCTGAGTTGGACCCACCAGCCAAGATGGACAAAACACAGGTTCTTTGTCCACTAATAACATCTCATGAGGCAGACATGCCTCGTCTGCCTCCTGGCTGGCTACTCAGTGAACCCAGCTGACATGTTTCATCTCCTCTCCTCTTCCAGGGAGCTAAGGGAGGAAACGCTGGGGTCAGGGCACCCATACTCACTGAATTTTTCCTTTTCAGCTGCCATTGGAAACCATCCCTTCTGAGTTGTAGTCACAG